CAAATGAAGGGTTAGGCAATAAAGAAAGTCATTAAAGGATAAGTTTTAAAGATGTTTTCCATTTTCCATTCATGCCAACAGTGTGAATTTTAGTGTCGTGTTTTTATTTTATTTATTTTGGCAAACTAAGAATCATTTCAGTTTGGCCAGTTATTTTCATGCATTGCATAATTAACCAGTCACTAAGCCGAAGACATTAAAAGTGAGTCAGGCATACAACACAGTACTATGTCCCTTATACAGACCCATGGAAAGGTAATGTCGAATGTGACAATCATCTTTCCAATATCTAGCCTCAAAGTTTAGGTACAGCTCAATTTCTCTTAGGAACTATTTAAGAGCATTATTCTTAATTTTTTCCTCAAATCTATTTTACATTATATTTATAGTCTCTGACAATGCTGCCTTTTGAAAATAACAAGGTCCCCTGATTTTTTATTTTTGCCATAGGGCACAGGTACCCATAGAGGGGGACAGGAGTAGAGGGAGGAGAAAGTACCTTCCATGGGAGATCGTCACACTGCAATCCTTTCTCCATTTCTTCCTTCTGCAGGTATTTTGGGAACACATGCTCATGTGCCTCAAGTCGTTGGGTCCAGGACTCCTTCCATGCAGTTGACCATGTGGGGTCCAGCTGTCTTAACTACTGTATCACTGGCTGCCTCCCCAGTTTTTATTATGAGTCTTCAAAAGTTTATGAAACATGAGTACCATCATAAAACTATGCTTGGATTTCAAGTTTTTTCTTTTTTCTTTTTTTTTTTTTTGAGAGATTTGTGCTATAGGGCCTGTGCGCTCGCCAGACAGACAGAGAGAGACATAGAGACAGAAAGCGAGAAATCACCCCCCAGGGGGGATGGTCACGCCGCAATCCCTTCACCTCCATTCTCCTCTCGGGATCTTGGACGCGCACGCACATGTGCCCAGCATGAGTTTTAAGCCACCGGGTCCGGGACGCGAACCACGGTCGACTACATGGGAGTCCAGCGACATAGCCATTACGCTAACTGCTGGTTCCCTCAAGTTTTTTCTTTAACCAAAATAAACTTGTAGTTTAATTCCATTTTTTCCAAAAACCCTTTGAGGTTTCTTATATACATTTGTATGAAGTGAAATATGCTTTCATTGGTCCAAATCTTTGTCACTCAAATTTAAAAGGTCAAGGACCAGCAGGTGACATGGTGCTTAAGGTACTGGACTCCCATATGGTCAGAGGTCTAGACCTGACAGCTTGAGTATCACCCTGGGCACGCATGTGTGCATGCCCAGGAACTCAGGAGAAGAACAGAAAAGGGATTGGGTTGTGGCCATCCTGCCTGGGGTGGGGGATGATTTGTCACTTTCCCTCTCACTGCTCTCCATCTTTTTCCAGAGAGTGCATGAGCCCTATGGCAAAAACCTAAAAATCAAATCATTAATTAAAAATTAAAAAAAAATATTTCAAAGGTTTGTCTTACTTAATTATTTAAAAGTGTGATAAAAGGGTTTATATTCACTTTACCCAGAGCCTTGAGGCTGTAACATGTGCAGATGATTTCTCCTTTTTTGTTTCTGATTTTCAAGATTCGAAGACAGAGAAATGTTGGTATTCTTACCGACGTTATGTAAAATATAAAACGCATGTGCTTCAGAGAGGGTAAGTTTAGCCTTGTCAACCAAAATTTAACATGTGTACATTATTCTTTCATCCAGTGATTGTCGTTCCAAACTTTTATGCATCAGGAGGTATGCATTCATAAATTGATGTTCAGTCCAACATTTCTGTACTGCTGTAAATAAACTGATGTGGAGAAATCTCAAAAAATAGTTTTAGGTGAGAAATGAGGCAAATTCTATAACAGTATACATACATATATGGATGTATAAAACAAAGGAAATGTATGTACATGCTTATGAATTCTTCAAAGACTGAGATTAAGAGTCAAGGAGACAGGGCCAGCAGGTGGTGTATTGTATAAGGCATTGAACTCCCAGGTGGCTGACCATGTTTAAGTCCTTTAACTGGAAGCTTGAAAATCACTCTGGGCATGTGTGCTCTAAATCCCGGAATGAGAACGAAGGAGAAGGGATTGTGCGTGGCAATCACCCCTCAGGGGATTTCTCACTTTCCTGCGGTTTCCCTCTGCTTCTGTCTAGTGAGTGCACACACCCTATGTCAAAAATCGTAAAAAAAAAAAAAAAAAGTGGAGGAGACATTTTATAGTTTAAAAGTCTTTCTTATTTTTACATCTTCAATATGCATGTATTATTTGTGCAAGAAACAGCTGCCTTTCAGAAAAGCTAAGATACTAGTACTTATTGATCTGACTAGATATTTTCAACCAGTTTTTAGTCCACCTCACAGAGACAGCCACCTACCCAAGGAAACACTTACTAGGTTCCATTAATTATTTGGTACATCCCAATTTTCTTTAGTTGAAAATAAATTATTAAAACATTCACATAAGTTGTCAAAAAAGTATAAATTAATACTATTCAAAAGATTCTCAAGTTTAATATAAGTAAAAAACAATTATTTTTTTTTGACCTTGTCATTTAAAATTAATGATGCTGAGAGATTTTATTATATTTTTAATGAATTATTTATTTAATTTTATTTATTCATTCCTTTATATTAATTTGACCAGAGAGAGAGATAGACAGGGAAAATGAGAAAGCAAGCCATCAGATCCAGGACAAATCATGATCAGCCATGTGAGAATGTCCAGCACCTTAATTATCATGCCACTTGCTGGCCCCTGGGAGATTTTATTTTTAACATATAAAATTTACAATTAAAAAAGGTACATTAAGTTTTATCATGCTTTGGAAGATATGCAATTTGTCACAACATTCTGGAGGATCATTTGGTGAGATTATAAATATTTTAAATTTGGTTATTCCTAGAAAAAAACAAAATTGCACAAAAGTTGTTCTTTGTTTTTTGAGAGAGATTTTTGCTATAGGGTGCTTGCTGGAGAGACAGAGAGAGACAGAGAGACAGACAGTGAGAAGTCAACCTCCATTCTCCCCCATTCTCCTCTTGGGATTTTTGGCATGCATGCACACATGTCTTGTAATAGTCTACTCAGCGAGAAATAAGAGGATATCCAGACATAGCCAAATTTATTGGAGTTTATTGATTAAGCCAGTGGCATGGGGGGGTGGGCACCTCCTTTCTCTCAAAACCCTGCAACCCAGAGTGAAAGGAGAAGGGAGCTTACATAGGCAAAAGTCACACTCTGACAATCACAAGAACAAAGAACAGTGGACTTGAAAGGGTAGGGGGTAGGGTTTTACAATGTAAAAACAAAAGTGAATTACAGAAGCAAACCAACCAGGTTAATCATTCCTAAGGGTATGTTCCATCTCTACCTAGACAGAAGGAATCTTAATGGCCTTTATGGCTCAGGGCAAGAGATCTGGTGACTAATGATTACATCACTAAGGAATATCTTAGGGTAGAGAATTTCAGGTCATTTAGCAAAGACAGTAGGCATGTTAATCATTCTGTTTAATTTAGGCAAAAGGAGAAAGCAAGTTTCCAATACAGAGAGGAGTTCAAAATGGAGGTCTACTTCATTCCCTAGTTCTCTCTTATGGGAATCAAATAATTCATTCTTTGGTATCAGCTAGAGAGCAGGGTGATAGTCTCCTTTGGCAGGTAAGAAGTTTCACCAAATTTAAAGTCCAGTTTGAACTGAGTTGGGCTGATTTTATGGTCTCTACTTGCTAGGCAGTTGGTCATGCTCAGGAGTGTGTGCTCAGACTAGCTTAGGCTGATATTCATGTTATGCAGCCACCAGCACTAGGTTTAGCTGCTTACAGGGAAACCATGATACAGCACTTCTCAAGACAATGCAAGAAGTTTACTGAGGGACCAGCAGTTAGTATAATGGCTATGTTGCTGGACTCCTACATAATCGATTGTGGTTCAAGTCCTGGACCCGGTGGCGTAAACTCATGCCAGGAGCGTGTGCATGTGTGCCCAAGATCCCAACAGGAGAATGGAGGAGAAGGGATTGCGTTGTGGCCATTTCCCTGTGGGGGTGTATTTGTTGTAGTGTGCCACCGAATGAACGACCACCAAAGTCAGATTAAGTTTAAAGGGAGTCTTTATTAGCTGGCCAGTGACTAGTCTGAGGCGAGTTGGGGGGAGGGGGCAACGAGAGTCAGAACTGTAGCCCCAACTGAAGTTGGAGTAGTCTTTTTATAGGGGGTCAGTTACCAGGGGTTTCTATACAAACAGTTACAGAAGCTGAATCAAGCAGGTTAATTATTTCTGAGAGGAGAGGGGTTTCCATGTAAGCAGTTACATTGCTAAACAAAAGGGTTTCGGGCTAGTTAGCAAAGACAGTAGCAGGTACAGGATTTCATCCCGGATACGGTTTTAGCACTAGTTATTTTCTCATGGGAAGAGCAAGCAGGAATACAGAGGCAGACAGCCATGTTAGGGGAAGGGTACAAAATGGACAAACATTTGTTCATGTGCAAGATCCAATATGCAGCCTTCCACAATTTCTCACTTTCTGTCTGTCTGTCTCTCTCTGTCTTTCTAGAGTGCACACATGCCCTAGAGAAAAAAAAAAAAAGAAATTTAATGGCAGAACAATATTTGGTTAGGTACTTATGGAAATAACAAAATTTCTCACAAAACAGAAACCATGTAATTTTCTCTTTTTTGAGTCTCCTCAAGTATCTGTTATGGAGAGTCACCCTGGCAGTGCAGGGCCTGGTATACTTGAGCTCTAGATCCAGAGGTAACTAGTGTTTAATATTTAAAGACTTTCATACTGTAGGAGACAAATAGGGTCAGGAAACTGAGTGAACTAGAGCTGAAAGTAAAATTAGAAGCACAGTTAATAGATGACTTAACAAGGGCAAGGGCCAAGGAGCCTACTACCAGAGGCCACTCTAACCTTCCCATGAGTCAGTTGCAGCCTGTCCTTTTTCTGATCATCAGGTCGTGAAGTTGCTGAACCATATTCCTGACAATGCCTAACTTAGAGTAGTCAGCCTCTGGAGCGAATAGAGTACGGCTGTTGCTCTCCGGTTTCTGAAGTATTATCAGAAAAGACTTTCCTGGCTTATTTTAATGGACCAAGGCCCTGGTGAGTCCATGGAAGCAGTCCTCTTGGCATGGCGTGACAGGCCTATAGGCTAAATTTGACAGTGGTCGGAGTAACCAGTACAACTATGTGAAGCCCCACCTAGACTAGTTGGAAGGGTTCCTCGCTCTTAGTTGTTTTACTGTATATAACCTTTAAAGATATTAATACAGTTAACTTTAGAATATTAACTTGATTAATTTTTGCAGCTCTTTTAGACTCTTGTAACACAACTCAAACCTTTAACATGTTTCCTTTTAGTTTTGTCCTTTCTTTTTTGTTCTGAAATAGCCATTTTATCTTAAGACAAAAACTATATTACACAAAATTTTCTACATAAAAACTTTTCTTTTTATCCTTTTCTAGTAGAAATACATTTTACAGCCATAATCCTCCTTTTATTCTTCATCTTATTCTTTGTTTTTATCTTTATGAGTTTAACCTTAAAAATTACCTTAATTTGGGACCAACGGTTGGCGTTATGGCTATGTCACTGGACTCCCATGTAGTCAACCGTGGTGCAAGTCTTGGACCTGGTGGCTTAAACTCACACCGGGCGCGTGTGCGTGCATGCCCAAGATCCCGAGAGGACAAAGGAGGAGAAGGGATTGTGGGAGCGATTTCTTGCTTTCTGTCTCTCTGTCTCTCTCTGTCTTTCTGGTGAGCACACACGTCTTGTAAAAAAAACCTCTCAAAAAAATTACCTTAATTTAAGATAAGTTAAATTAAAAATATTTACTTGATTTACATTTACCCAATTTTTGTCTAATTATTGTTTTAAGTTATTTATAGAAGCAAGAGAGTATTTATTTAAGGTGTTTTTCTTCAAAGAAAAGTAAACCAGGCTAGTCTAACATTAGCTAGCCTCATTTCATCTAGAAACTGAACTAGAAGACATCATAGATATTCCCAATGTTTCCAAAGTTTTTCTTTTCCTCCAGGATTTGATTTCTAAAAGAGCCTTGCCTGAAGGTTCAGGATTTACCTGTGTGCAAGCAACATATTTTGAGATAACACTATTGATAAGGCTATCCAGACTAGTCTAGGCACAAAGTATTATTCTCCTAACCAGCTTAGCAAATTTTGTTTTTCCCAGGTGGGTAATCTGGTGTACCTGATCTACGATGACTTGCTGAAAGGCCTTGGGAAATATTGGCCTAACATTTAGTAGCAGCAATTGTTGTGGGCCAATTTTTTTCTCCTCCTGAGCGTTGGAGGGTGAGGATGGGATAGAGTCCTAGGAGGCCTCAAGAACTTTTAGTTGCTGATAGAGATGTCTCCCCTGTGGCTAGGTCTTATAATTTTCTCTCTTGTCACATGGTCAGACAACCTGTTTACTACTATTTTCTGTCTCTCTCTCTCTCTCTCTCTTTTTTATAAGTGTACAGTTAGAAACAACCTTAATCTCTGATTGAGACAGAAATTAATCTTAGTTACTTTAAGGGTTGAAATTGAAATTGTCAAATGTCCAAGGGGAGCTATCGGAGTCTCAGGTCCCATCAATTCTTAGTTTCAAAGGCCAGCATGGACTTTAGAAGTCCCAAGCTCCCTTCCGAGCTCAGTGCATTCTGTCTCATCTCTAGTGACCAACTCCACATTGTGGACAAGGCCCCACTGGAGGCCATGAGGATGCCAGTCATGGGCATTGTTTAGTGCCCGGGCTGCACACATTGGAAACAGAGTTTCTTCTAAGTCAGAGGCTCTGATCTGGGCTGTTTCCAGATCCTGCCCTCAGAGAAGTTCCCAACCTTCAGGATTACCACAAGTGACTACTGGGTGTCCTTAAAGTGAAAGTTAAATCAAAGGTTAAAGTGTCTTGCCAATTTTGTTATAACACGTTTCTGAGTTATTTGAGAACTTTTCTGATATCTGTTCTGAATTGTCCCTACACTGAGAACTGAACCTAAGCTCCAATAGATTCTGCAAGGAGCGACTGAGTACCATCAGGAAGGGGAAGCCCAGTTTACAGGTTTCATAAGGCATTTGCTTTATTGGCTATACAAAGCCCTAGCTGGAGAGTGCAGTCTTCTAAATTCTTGTTTTTTTCTAGCTAGACCTCTTGATCATTTAACTAAGGGGAGAGCGCAGTGGGGAAGAGGCCTATCTAAAAGAAATAGAAGGAGCACAAGAAGGCAAGGGGTTGGGGGAAAAGGCAGCCTGGAGCTCTAGCCTTAACTTGTCCTACCCCATTCCTTGAGACTCCTAACCTATTGAGCTGTTACACAGGAGTTTTCTAGATTTTGTACCAGATATATAGGCCCAATTTTTAATAACCACCCATGCTTACAATTCCCTCTTTCACCTTGGGGAATTTGATGTTTTAAGGGGAGCTCTTAAGCTTGTAAAAATAGAATTTTATACATTTATATTGATGAAATTTTTGATTTTCAGCAACCCTAACTTTTGGCATACATCAGCAACTTATGAACATGTATAAACAATAACAAAATTTCTTGAACAACTTTTTCAATGTAGAACTGAACAGTCTTACTAATAGACCCTCTCAATATTTTTTTATAAAATGTAAAGACCAATAATAGAAATAACTGAAGCATGTTAACTTAATAACAAGAATTATAAGGAGGACTCAGAGGAAATCAGGCAATAACGTTTCTATGAGTCTGTGTTTAACTCAGGTTCATTGCATTGGCTTTTTAACATGCAATTTTATCAAACATTTTCTTACTTTTCTTTGGTTAATTTTGGCTTAACAGTTTAGAAAACCAATCAGTTTACATAGAAAATTAAGATTTTTACCCAGTTAAATGATCAGTATTTTTTTTAGAAACTTGTACTCATAAGAATATATTTTCTTTGTAAATTTCCTTAAGGACATAATATTAGGATTATAGTCATAGTTAATGATTGGATAAAAGTTTATAACTGACAAAGAAATTTGGCTATATATACCAGTTTGACATAATACCCTACTATAAATTCCTGGGATTCTCAAGTTATTTTGGAACACAGTACATGTATAGACATACAAGTACATAACATATTTATACATATAACTCAAATATAATGCTAAGAAAATTTAAAAATTTCTTAATTTGACAAAGTCATCCATTTTTATCCAACATATATACAATAAGCCTGATCAGTTTACCATCTCCCTTTTGTGTCTCAGGGACCCTCTGTAAACATCTAAGAGTTACTTTGAGATCAAAGATCCTTTGTTAGTACTAAAAGTAAAGTCAGAAAAAGCTAGTCATGAATTCATTTCCCTGTTAGATATCCACTATGTAAAATGCAACACACAACACATAAATACTAGCTGTTTCATTAAACCAACCATGTTATGATAAACATGATGTTACTTGATTAATAAAAAACTAGACAAAATATATGTTGGAAATGATGAAGACTCACTTATTAAACTTTTTCTGTCATTACATTTGAAGCCAGCTCATCTACTGAAGTTACATGAACTTCAAAAACATTTACACTAATTTGTATGTGCAATCTTTTTATAAACCAAATTGAATAAAATTCTTTAAGGCCTTTTTTCACACAAATACAACATGTAGTATGCAACATGACATATTACATGTATGATTCATACACACATCAGGATTACAAGAGCCAGTTTCCCTGGAGTTACTTTGACATTAATACTCTTTAGAATAACCCCCCGTTCCATTATACGGAGCTAAGGAGATCACTGCCAACCTCTTCTGATGGATGGGGTACTGGTGTTCAGCATTCTCCTTTGATTATACCATGATCATTACCAACTTTTCTTTTATTGGTTATTCTAGCAAAACTTCTGATTTCAAACATCTTCATGTAAGAAACATGACGCGATAGTACAGGAGACAGGTAAAACTCATTTAAGAACTCTCTCCTCATGCTCTGCTCAGCTCAGTGACTGCTCCGTTATAAGCCTTTGTCTAGCATATAGCTCTTAGAAAGATGCCACTCTCATTCTTAAGATACCCCAAGCTCTGTGAATGATTGTCTAACTTTGCTCCCCTCTCACTCAACTATTTTTTTTAAATGAATGGTATCTTCCTATATCATGATCCTCATGCCTCAGCCTCCTAAGTACCTTGGACTACAAGCACACACCACTGTGGTATCTAGACCTAGGCCTCCCTTGTGACTTCAGCTGCTTAGTAGCACCAGTTTAGCAGTGTCAATCATCATGTGTTACCACGGCTGGGCATCTCACTCATCTTTATATATATTTTTAATATTTTATTTCATTTCATTTCATTTTATTTATTTATATTACTATTACTTTCTAAGTTTGCTATAGAGCATGTGTGCTCACCAGAGAAAGGCAGAGAGAGAGAAAAAGTGAGAAAGCAAGCCACCAGGCCCAGGACTAAAATTGCGGTCAGCCATGTGGGAGTCCAGTCCCTAACCCACCACGCCACCTGCTGGCCCCTGTCTCACTCAGCTTTGAGATGACTACATTAAATATACCTCAGGACTGGGCCTACTGACCCTTTTTTTCCCATGTGTCTCATTGTGCACTGTGCACAGTTCTGAGTGCCTTGGAGGTGAAGAGGAGTGAGTCATACTTTTAATCCTCAAAAAGCTTGTCCTCTGGACAACCTCCTGGAAAAACTCTCTTGTGTGTACATAATTCACAAAGACCACAGCACCTTTGAAATATGTCTACTTTGTTTAATGTCTAGAAATTGTCATTCTCCTCAACTTAAATTGGTAATTTAAATTAATAAAAATGCTACAAAGTAGACAAATAAAGAAGATTTAATGCTAAATAAGCCAGAGTATGAAAGACAAGTACTGTATATCATCACTCAATATGTACCAAACATCTGCACTCAATGACAGAAATTGAAAGATATTAAAGTAGAAAGGACAAGTAAATATACCACAGACTGTATGAGAGGAGGATGGGTAGAGAAGAGTAGGTAGGATGGAGAGAGGACAACAGTATTGAACAGACACAAGAGTGTAAAGTTCTTTGTTGAAAATTATATATAATATTTGTGATTTTATTATCACACATTGCATGCATGGTTTGAAATCCATGCCTTGTTGTTCACATAAAGATGTACAACAATGAAATGTAAATAAGAAATTACAAAATAAGCAAATAAATTCATTACTTAATATGAAAAACCGTCTAAACTACTGGATTGAATTGAATGTTAGTTGTGTTCTAATCCAATAGTCCACTGAATTTTATTTGTTAGGTTGGGCTAGATAGTGCTACAATAACAAACAAACTCCAAGATTGTAATGACTTTTATAAACAATTTTGTTGTACAGGAAAATGCTGGCTGGAGTCATTATCACTGAAGAGAAAGTAGTCTTCATATGATTCTTCAGTAAGCAAGACTGCTATGCTCTTATTGCTGTACCATGTCAACATGAAGCCTCCACAATAACTGGAACAAATAAGAGTGGAATGGAAGAATTTCTGAACTAGGCATGAATCCACCCGTGTAGAAGGATCATTATGTGAGTATTGTGGAATGAAACACTTATAAGAAAGGGGCTATACCTATTTATGAGAGGACCTGGAAGAGTGAGTGTCTGAAAGATAGAGTTGGAAAATAAAAGAAAGAACACAGAAAATCCTACGCAGAAAATCCTACCTGCCTGCTTGTGTGAATGCAACGGCGTTTTCAAAGGAACTTAGAAAGCCAGGGATATCTAGTCACCAGAATAGAGCTTCAAAGAGCTGCTGATTGAGAATCATGTCAAGGCTGCTGCTTATGCACTTGGTAGTGCAATGCAAACTAGGTTTGCCATTGATCCCAGCAGCCTCAAAGGAGAGATGAATGTGGAAGGCAGTGTGTGAGGACCGACTAGAACCAATAGAGTACCTTTTGTCTTTCACTTCATCTAATTACAAAGATTTTGAGAAAATGATGACAAAAACTTTACTTCTTCCTCCTAAACATGGTGTGAATTTTGCTTTAAAAAAACTATAACTCATTGGATCAGGAGGTAGCAGGGTAGTTAAGTTGCTATATCCCTCATTGTTAGCTTTATGGTTCAAGTCCCAGACCTGACAGCTTGCAAAATGTACTAGACATACGTGTGCATGGTTGAAATTCTGAGAGGAAAATGGAGAAGGAATTGCTGTGTGGTGGGTGTGATTTCTTACTATTCCTCTATTTCTGTCTCTCTTTCTCTCTCTCTGGTGAGTGCACACACCCTGTGGCAAAAAAAAAAAAAAAAAGAAAAGAAAGGAAAATAAAGAAAACAAAACTCTAAGTATCTTATATAAGTCTTCAAGGAGTTCATGAAAAATGCATACTTCAGGGGGTAAAAAAAGTGCACTAGTTTCAAATGATTTTTGCACCAAAATAAATTTATATTGAAGTCCACTCATACAAAGATGGGAATTCTTCAAAACATAACTATAGATTAGTTAACACATACAACATCAACCATCACCCTCACTTCCCAGTTTTTACATGATGTGACCTGGAATTGACATACCTCATTTGCACTTAGCAGAATCGGTTGTATGACCTCATCTAACTGCAAGGGACTAAGAAATGTGGGATAGCACATGGATACCCATTTGATAACATCATCAACTATCCCTGTCACATATACTATGTCAGAAGGAAACATTTATAGACTTCCATGTACAACACATTGTTTAAGTTGTCAACTTGACCGCTAACAAAACATTTTGTCTTGATGCATCTGCTTGTCTTTGTTAAAAAATTAAATTACTTTGAGAACTATTATCACTGTAACCGGGATTTTAATTTCAATTTTGAAAATTTTGGTTTTCATTCAGCCTTTCTTAGGAAAGCCTCTTTGTAGAGAAATCTTCAACTCATATGTCTAATAATTTCTCAAGAGCTGAACATTTTTCTACAAAGCATTCAGAGTAAGAGTTTCCTTTTTCCTTTCTTTCTTTAAAAAAGAGAAATTCACACTATGTTTAGAAGGCAGAAATAAAGTTGTTGTCATAACTTTATAAAAAATGTTGTGATTAGATGCAGTGAAAGGCCGACAGAGGGAGCCTTGGAGGTTCTAGCTGGTCCTCACACTGCCATCCACATCCATCTTTCTTCTTGAACGCTGGGATCAATAGCAAACCCAGGTTCACCACCAGGTGCAGAGGCAGCAGACTTGCACATGGTTCTCAATCAGCAGCTCTTTGATGCTCTATTCTGACATCTAGATATCTCTGAATTTCCAAGTTCTCTTGCAAACTGACTTGTTCACACAAGGCAATGCCTATGAAATAGGATTTTTTGTGACTTTTCTCTGATTTTCCAACTCTATCTTTCAGACACTTACTTTCCCAGTCCATTTATAAATATGTAAAACTTTCTTTTCTTAGGCACTATTAGATCAAAATATTACTTAAGTAATTTCCAATACTGAGCTTTTCTAATTGCAGACTTCATCAGCCCTTAGAGTGTAGATTCAACTGTATTTTCTTTGGTTAGTGGAGAGTATGAAAGAGAAAGAATAAAAGAAAGATTAACAAAACCATGAAAATTAGAAAATTAATAGAGTGCTTCTGCATGTATTCTTATGGAAAATTTGATATGACTTGGAGAAGAAATAGGAACATTCAGAGAAAGTATGTTTTGACTACACCTTAGAAATGGAAAAGTTGATTATTTTATACTGATGAGTCATTCTGGATATTATGAAAAGTACAATATATTTTTCGTTGTATGATTCTTCATTTAAGACTGTTATGCAATAGCAAGCCAACACAGAGCAATTGCAGTTACTTTCCAGATGAAAGGAAGAAAGAAAGAAATCTCTTTTGAATTATTATTTTTAAAATACAAAAAGATACTTTCTTATCTGGGCAATGAACACTTTCTCAAATCTGTTGAGCAAGCCCAAATTTATATTAACTAGAATAAGTTAGTACAGGGCTTGGCTCTTAAGCATTAACCATCACTACAGCATATAGAAGAAATAAATTTCTAGACTCATACAACTTACCAAGACTGAATTGCAAAGAAATAGAAAATCTGAACAAATCACTAACAAGTAAGGATATCAAATTAATAATAAAAAGAGCAGTTGGACAATTTTTCCCTGTGTGTCAAGGTCTGTATTTGATTCCCACCCCCTTCTCTTTTTTTGCCGGAGGAGACATTGACTGCCAATAGGTAGAAGCAGTTCAGTTAAAGCAAAAGAACAAGGGTCATAGCAACAGATTTTGGGGATGTTTGCCGGGGACCAGCCTTGGCGGGGGTGGGTTGGCTTGACGGAGGCGACGCTGGAAGGAAAGGAAGACCAAGGCCTCGTGCTTTTTCATGCACGTCCTAAGTCGGACACTCCTCTAAGATGGCTCTTTGAGGAGTGACAACTGTTAGGAATCATCGTGCCTTTTTATTGAAAATGTGATACAGGCAAGTAAATGGGAGAGGGGCTACGTGTTCTAATTATCAATTCATAAAGTTTTAACAATAGAAACCATTCAGGGTTTGATTAAGGGCAAGTCTATTAATCATCGATACAGTTCAACAATTGTTTGATTGATGAAAGCAGGTTCCTGGTAACTTCAAGCAGTGCAGTTTCAGGAAACAATTCCAGCAAGCAGAGTTAACTATCAACCGATGTTTAGCAGCAGCTGTCTTATGGTTACTAAAAGAAAATCTCAAGCATAGATATTAGTTCTTATGGATTTTCATAAAGAATGATACTTATATAATTCTATAGGGATTTAAAACGTAAGGAATCCTAATATGTTTACCTATCCTGAAGGGGTGGAGTTAGTGTTCACTTGATGAGGGCGGGGATACAGCCTTTTCAACTGGTGGTGAAGTGACTAATAAGTTAATGAAAAACTTTAAAATGGGTTTATGGTGTTGTGGATACACTTGTGTAGCCTATGGCACCACTGTTATGTATTTTGTTAGAACATTAGTTACCATGGGACAAGAGTGTCCTCGGCCAGTTTCAGCCTAGTACTATTGTATGTAAAAAGGTTATTTATATTAAATGTGTCTTGAAGGGCCTTCCAAAG